GTTAGAGTGAAGCGTATGGGATATCCAGGGTGATCCAGTGTATGTGAACAGTGAGATGTTTGGGCGCTGAAGTCGCCATAGCCAATTGAGAGTGAACTCGTATCTGAAAGCCATATCTCTGAGTTTTGAGTGGGCGCATGCCGCCAGTATGCTGTGTTGCTGTTTACAAGCATGAAAAGTGTGTTTGAAAACGAGTCTGATTGCAGGTATGCCAACTAGCTCACCTTTCCCTTTGCCTTCAAGGTAGAGAGGTGCCAACGCACGAATGAATCGTAGTATGGATTCATATTTGTTGTTATGAAGGAACGACGCCAATCAGCTCCCGTCCCAAATGCTCTCAAGTCGTCCTGAGAATAAGGAGATTGTCAGCACCAAGTCCACAAAACAACCAAGTGCATCTTGTCAATACCTTACACAAAAAAAAGCAAACAAAAAGCACATAATCATGCCACAACCAGAAACTCTATGCTTCTACATTCACCCCACTTCAACAGAAGAAACCAGCCTCTAAGAGTAAAAATCAGGCAATCAAACACCCTCATTTGGCGACAACGTGAGCCGCATTCCATTCGTTCTTCACACTTTATACCTGCTTCATCTGCGACACACACTCCATTTGCCAGCACATCGATGCATACCATGTGTGGCTGGCAGACACAACCACTTCAACAAACACCATCAATACAGCATGAATGAGACATGCTGGAGGTGTCTGACGCACGCAAACAACGAGTGGACAAACTCGAAAGAAAGACCTTACAACCTCACTCCCCCCCCCCCCTACACACACACACACACACACACACACACACACACACACTTTCACCTGAGAAAATTGTGTAGCTGATGGGGACCCAATTTGAGTTCACAAATGAAGCCAGACAGCATAATAAACGAGAGTATACTCACCGCTGGACTACAATGTATGTATCTGAGTGCAAATGCTGCCAAATTCAGCCCAGAAAATGCTACTGTTTTCTCCCAAACATAATGCACCCTCATTTTGACGATATGGGACAGGAAAGGTAGTTTGTACCATTCATATTAAGGGTGTGTTGTGCTCAGGGGAAGACGGTGGTATGAGTAAGGCCAATGAGGTCATTCAATGACATGCAGACACATACGTCTTGGCACAGTTTTTTTTTTTACTTTGTCCTTGACCAAAGCACTAGCCCCAAGTCTCTCGCAGACTCTGACACGTTCTTTTCCTTTGCTTTGCCTCACCTTCGCCAGGGGCGGAAAGAATGTCAGCCAGTGGTATGGATCTTGGAATTTGGCAATATCTTCAGCCTTCAGTCCTAGCGTCTCCATGATGTTCCACTGTCACAACACAAAAAACAGTAGAATGACATTTCAGATTGTAAATTCCAAGATCTCGAAAGCTCACAAATTAAGTCCAATGAAAAAGTTTCAAAGAAAAGCAAAAAAAAGGATAGATATCGTCAATAACATTGAGACCACTAGATGAAATCCAGCAAGAACGATCTTAAAAGCAAGCAACAAATAAAGCACGACGAACATCGAACAACACACAGGGGAAAAAAATATATATATATCCCTTCTCAAAGGGGTAGAGAAACAGCACTTTTCCATCTCATTATGTGGACTGATCGCATCTCTTCAGCATATGCAATAAGTTCTCAACAGCTAGCACCAAAGAAAGCATAATTGAAATCAAACAGATAAAATAGAAACATCTCCCCTCCCCCTCCCTACATCACACGGCTTTCGAACTCGAGTAACGAGTTACTCTCACGCAACCAAACAAGTGCTGACAGCATTGTGCTGCTCAAGTATTCAAGGTCGTAAGAAACGAAACTCGTGACGAAAGGGTAGATAAAGACTACCACTATCCTCTTGTGAAGCCAGAAAGAAAGCAAAAAAGATCCCTTTACAAAGGGGAAGAGAAATGGCACTTTACCCCTAATTACGTGGACTGATCGCATCTTTTTTCAGAGTTTTACAAACAGCAGACAGAATACTCCCTCCCCGACCCCAACAACAACACTTCTCTCATAGAAAAACAAAAGCCCTTCTCTTGTCACATCATTACCGGCTTTTCACACGCATTGTTTCTACACTTCTTGTTTTGCATTCTATGCGACCACGATTTCTCGGATGCTAACTTCCGGCCCTCAGATAGATTTCGTAACCAATAATTTATTCATAAATCATTAAAATTTGGGGGGTTGACCGCACACAGCAATAGATTGGTAGCATCCCACAGAGAGAGAGAGAGAGAGCTCAAAGGGGTGCAAAAGAGGGAAAAGAAAAGGCTTGAAGGTGGGTTATCTTCATTCCCGTCAAGGGCAGCATCAGAGTGCCTTTTTGCATCCCATAGATTTAATACAAAGAAAAAAGGAAACCAACAACAACAACAGAAGGTCAGTCACTTGTAAGGCAAACCAACTCTCTCTCTCTCTCTCTCTCTCTCTCTCTCTCTCTCTCTCTCTCTCTCTCTNCTCTCTCTCTCTCTCTCTCTCTCTCTCTCTCTCTCTCTCTCTCTCTCTCTCTCTCTCTCTCTCTCTCTCTCTCTACACTCCACGTTTATCACACTGAATGTGCACAAGTGTGAGGATGCTTGCACCAGAATATTTAACTCCATATGAGGCTAATCATTCAACTCAGAAGATGCATATTACCGGACCCATGGGAGAAGCCTGCATAAGCAAATTACCTGGTACTTCGCACTCCCAGTCTTTGCAGCAGCTTTGGACTGCACAGGACACCACCAAAGACAACCAGAGATTGACCAGAAAGAAACCCATCAGTTATGGCATGCATGCAAGCAGCATAGTGTTACGGGATCGCACTGTATGAGTGTATAGTAGACAGTTCGCATGTCCAGGTGCATGTGCATGCGCATAGGTCTGTGCATGCAGATGTGCATGTGTGCGCAGCATGCGTGTGCATGTGCAAGTGCCTGTGTCTATGATTTCGTCCACTTTTTGCCCCTCCTCTACGCACCACCACTCACAAACCACATCCCAGGTGTAGCGGATGCTTACACTGTCATAAAGATTCAAAGAGGGACTAAGAACCGCTCGCCAGTTTCACACGTAGGAGAGCACTCGGTCTAGGACAACCACCCGATGCCCGACAGCATGCATCACAGCAATGTCGCCAAGTCCAGTTCACAGCAGTTCAGGAACGGCACATATTCTGTAACCCGGGCTACACTACAGAATCAGGGGCCGGATCACCCAAGAGGACAACAAGATGATTCAAACTAAGGATAAAACAAGTTATTTAAACTTTTTTTCTTTTTTTTCTTTTTTTTTCAGATGCCAGTGTTTCCCTCAATTATTTTGTATCTTCTATTAGTTGCGGCCAGAGACAGAAGACAGAACGCTGTGCAATATCTTGCTGCTCAACACCCCCATACACTCAGAAGCCCATTATCCGCTCCATGAAACTCAACAGACACTCCCGACCACCTGTAGATAGAAAATGAAAAGGCAAATCAACCTGTTAAAACGCTACCAGACAACAATGGCTGGCAGACTCCGACTCCGAAATTCTTGTGGCTCACGGCAACCAGTTCCAGACTCCGAAATTCTCGTGGCTCACGGCTACCAGACGACAATGGCTGGCAATGCCAGCCAAAAAAAAAAAACAAAGTGCACTGGTGGCGGTTCAGAAAAGCTTGACGCGCAGTGCAGAGCCTCCAGGCCTGGGTGTACCGGTGGTAGGCCCGCATTAAACACAACATCACCATGCTTGCTCCAGAAGGTTTTCGACTGAATGTGACTATAAATGCGATCACATACAGTTAGAAAAGTGCGAGTGCGATTATGCCCTACCACGTCATTGCTTGATCGACCCAACATGCACATCTTCTCTCAGAATCATTCACCAGATCCAAACCAGGTCTGGAGATGTCAGACAACGAACATCACCACCAATCTCATGTTCAAACCTGGTTTAGTGATTCAGCGAGTTGGTTAAACCCGTTTTGACCTGGGAACCATTTGGTTGGACCTCTCAGAACATGGCTGGCAACAGATCCATCCATCCACGCATGACAGCAATTCACAGTTACCAAAACTGCCCCTGCTGCCTTTGAAAGGACAGGAAAATTCCTCATCAGCGCAGTCCCAAGGTTTACCAACTCATCATACCAATCAATCAATCAATCAATCAATCAATCAATCAATCAAATCATCAATCAGTCAATCAAATCATCAATCAATCAATCAATCAATCAGTCACTCAATCAATCAATCAGTCAATCAATCAATCCGTCTGCAAAATTCATCTGCCGATGTCCGCGGCGAGAGGCTTGCTCAAGAACACACCTTCTTCGTTCTGAACTTGGCTGTATCAAGCCTGTCCTCCCCCTTTTCCTTCTTGGCATCTGCAGGCACGTGCCCATTTACTGTCTCCGGCGTTACGTTCTCGCTTTGTTTGTCCTCCTCCTGTCGAAAAACCGGAGGGTTCCCGAATTCTTTGATCTCTCGCGCCAATTTGTCTGCACAGGCCTGCACAAGAATACCATGTCCCCAATTGTCATGTCCCGCCGTCAAAAAACGTTAGTCAGCTGAGATTATTCCCCCCCCTGATAAGATCAATCTCTCGCCTACACTGGTCAATCTCTCCCTAAGGAGTAATTCCCTGTCTTCCTACCCCTGTCAACATTATCATCTTTCGCCTCCAACCAGCTAGGTAAAAACCACCCCTCTTCCCAAGCATACTGTGCCGAGCCCAATGTGTGCCCGACCTCGACTTGCGAAACTCATGCAGGGTCAGGCCGTCAGGCCCCCTTTGTCAGCCACACAAAAGGGTCAGCATTTGAGGACCCAATCTGCATTTTCCCCTTTCATACGAGTGTGATCTCCAGGGGTCGTCCCGACCGGTGATGCATTCTCCTCAGCCCGTTGGAAAGAGACCACCGCACCCCTTCAGCAGCTGTCTAAGATACATGACACGCCCCTTCAGCTGTCGAAGAGACATGAACAGGCCACAAAATCTGGCCTTCAGGTGTAAGAAAGAAAGAGAGGAGGTTATAACAGCTCCCTGCTTTCCCCCAGCAATCCCCCGCCCCCTTGTAGACCAATAGAACCAGCATGATCTGTCTAAGAGGAGTTGTGGGAATTGTGATTTCATGGAATCGGCGAGTAAGAGAAGCCAGAACACAACACTAGAGACATGAAGAACCCATGAACGCTTTCAAGCCAATCAAGATATATATTGTCACGTGATATCAGAGCACCAAAGCGAAAAACAGAAAGAAAACAAGGAAAAAACAGAACAGGGGGCAACAAAACAGATCCCAGATGACAAGTCCCACATGCAAGCACCGCCCCTGCCCACAGGCCAAACGACGGGACAAGACCAACCAGGWTGTCAAAACATTCTTGTCTGCAAAGAAATCAAAAAAAGTCCCAGATACATATCTATACACAGCAGATGGCCTTGTTCGTCATCAAGAAGTTGGTATTCCTATTCTTCGGCGTCATCGTAATCAATTCGTACGGGGACATCATAAAAAACAATCCTAGATGATGATTCCCACATAAAAGCACCGCCCCCATTGATAGGCCGAACAACGGGAAGCAACCAACTACCGGTAGGATAGATCAAGCGATCAATGCCAGTCAAAAAGCGTGCGTGCTAGGGAGAGAAAGAGGCCAACTGACCTTGATTGGCATGCCCGTGCAATGGAATGCAAATGGGAAAAGGGCCTTCTTTCCGCACAAGCGATGATAAGCCGTTGCAAATTCAACCTGCATGGGTACCGCACCAAATTGGAGCAAGAAAAAAAAAGACAAGACAGAAGTGAGAGAGAGAGAGACAGAGAGACAGATGGAAATGGAAATGTACACGTCAGACAGACAAGCAGACACATATCAAGAAATTAAATTAATAGTAAAAATAAATAAGAGGCAACACATCTTCTTCCTTCTCATCATAATCCCCGACATCATCGCCAACTATATGCTCTCCTCCTCCCCCCCCCCCCGCGCATGGATACTAATCACAATCACAACAACGGCTTACGATCTACATAACCAGTTTTCCCGCCAGCCCGGCCCCAACCTTTTCTTTCGTCCTTTTTTTCCTTCCTCTTTTTATCTTCCTTTTCTTTTCTTCCCTTTACTTTCTACCTTTTTTACTTTCTTTCTTTCTTTTCTTCTCATTCCTTTGTTTTTTTTCTCTTTTCCTTCTTTTCCTTTTTATCCTTCCTACCAGTGAAAGCAAGGACGACAGGAGAGCAAAAGATGGAAGACACGAGAGAAAGGGAAGAGGCTTCTTTTCTTCCTGTCGATAACCGAGAACATTAGTTTCCAACTTTTCCTTCCTTTATTTTTACTTTCTGCTTTTTTCCGCCTTCTTTGCTTCCTTTTTCCCTCCTTTCCTTTTCTTCTTCTCCTTTCTTTTTTTTTTTTTTTTTTTGAACAGATCCTCTCCGGTGTTAGTGCTGCTGATACGAGCAGTCACCACGAACACCAGGGGGGAGGCTCCATCTATTGGGGGGGAGCATCACCTGCTGGAAAACGGGTCCAGCGTCCCATGTACAAGATATGTCTCATGCATCAAGTGTGTCAAACAAAAAAGTCAGTGATTGTGAGGCCTTCATTTTTCTTTCTCCTTCTTTGCTTCCTCCCACTGGAAGTAGAGGTAGGTTCCTTTCATTCCTGACGATATCAGAGAATATATACTTTTTCTTCCTTTCTTATTTCCCGCCTTCTTTTCTTCCTTTTTTCCCTCCCTTTCTGTTCTTCCTCTCCTTCCTTTTTCCCCCCTCCTTTTCCTTCCTAGCGGTGGCAGTAGATTACTGATCCGTGTTTTAGGGCCTCCAGGCCCCGCCGTCGCGCACGCACGCCCTCGTACAGGCAACCCCTCAGTCACAGGAACCAATCAAGCCTCTGAACCACCTCTCTTCTCCTTCCTCCCCCCCCCTCCTCTTTCTTTTCCTTCCTACATAGCGGTGGCAGGAGAGAGATCCTCACCTTGGAAACGGTAAAGGCATGGCCAAGGTGCAACAGACCGTTCATGTACGGGTACGGGAAATTCCCATAGAACCTCGGGGGCAAACACTCTCCTCCATCAACGTCTCCAAGGGGGGCATCCACTTCAAACAGCTTCTGACGATCCCATACAGCTTGTGCCTCGGCCTGTATCGCCAACAGCTGGTCCCGGCGTGCCGTCTTCGGAGGCTCCTGCTCACAAAGAAAACGCAAACGCAACCACCAAATCACACAACAGAACCAACAGCCGTCATCCCGGCCAAGTACAACAGAACAGCCAAAAAAAACGTGTCTTTGATCGTCGCCGCAAACCACCATATCCGTCACAATCCAGGAGCAGCACAATTCACTTGTCGTTATCAGCACCACCACTACAACCACGACATCACCATCGTCATCACCACCTGCCTCATCATCGTCATTCCACTTCCAAAACCAACCACAAGATACACACCGCCTCCTTTCCTCCTTCGTCGTTAATCATCACCATCATCATAATGATCATCATCGCCGCCTACTTTTCCTACTACTCTACAGTTGATCATCATCATCATCATCATCATCACCAAGATACCCCGCCTCATTTTCCTCCTCCTCCTCCTCCTCCTCCTCCTCCTCCGCCTCATTTGTCAATCATCACCATACTCATTGTCATCACCATCGCCTCCTACTTTTCCTCCTCCCCGCAGTTGGCAATTGACAATCATCATCATCATCATCATCATCATCATCATCATCATCATCATCATCATCATCATCGTCATCGCCTCCTGCCATTTTCCTCCTCCACACTCGACAATCATCACTATCATCATCATCATCATCATCGTCATCATCATCAACATCGCCTCCTACTGTCCTCACCACTCAACAATCATCATCATCATCATCATCATCATCATCATCATCATCATCGCCTCCTCCTTTCCCTCCTCACCCGTCAATCATCAAAAGAAACTCTTCGAATTATCTTGCCGTATATTCCTGCTCAAAGTGTGCTCAGAGAAACGGTGATGCTCACCATCATCATCATCATCATCATCATCATCATTGCTATCATCTTCATACTCTGGAAGTCGGTCATTGCACCACCTCTCACGATATCATTACTACCTCCCTTCTCCTTCTCCACGTGGATCGTTTTTTGAGATCTTCAATTTTGTTCTTTTTCCTTTTGTCTTTTTCTCCTCGCCTTTTCATCCTTCCCGTGCATCATTCGCTCCTCGCTGTCCCTCTCCCGGTTTACTCCTACCGTCTTCATCCGACCAGAACGCCCGGTCATTATCGCTGCATCTAGACTGAAAATTGCACCAAATACAGATATCATGACCGGCCGTTCTATTCGGGTGAAGACGGTAGTGCTGCTCCCGTACACATATCCACCTCAGATCAGACCTCAAATTGTTTTTTTTTTTCCCTTTCCTTTCCTCCGTTTTCCCCCTCTCTCTTTAACTCGCTATTCTCTTTGTTCCCTCTCTCTCTCTCTCTCTCTCTCTCTCTCTCTCTCTCTCTCTCAAGCGTACAAACTCGAACGAGTCTGGTCCCGGGCAAATGACCTAGCACTGGGACCCCAGACCTTAGGGTCGTTCCAGCGGCAGGCAATGCCTGAGCTGCCATGTTTCGATGTAACAAAATCAGGGCATGTACTCACAACCACACCGAGACTGAATCTGGCGATAATCGTGACCAGATACGACCTGGAAAGCCCTAGCTCGAGTGTACTGATCTGCCTACTAAAGTAGCACAAAACTGGTCATCCGGCGTCCGAAAATCCTCGAGCCGCGATCCCGGCGAACCGTGCACCACCTTGCCGTCGTGCCTGTGATGCCTCACGCCAGGGAGAGGAGACCAGCTTATCCTCCCCCYCCCCCCCCCCCGTGAAGGAGAAGATGATGATAGCGCGGAGAATGAGGGGAAGGACATACGAATAGGACGGCGTGATCACGCGGGCAAGGTGTCCTGGAATCGAGGGCAAATCGGCAAAGTGTCCAGGAATCGGAGGGCAAGCCGGCGAAGCGTCCTGGAATCCGAGGGCAAATCGGCAAAGCGTCCTGGAATCGGGGGGCAAAGCCAATCGGCAAAGTGTCCTGGAAATTGGAGAGCAAAGCCAATCGGCAAAGTGTCCTGGAAATTGGAGAGCAAAGCCAATCGGCAAAGTGTCCTGGAACCGGAGGGCAAAGCCAATCGGCAAAGTGTCCCGGAATCGGAGGGCAAATCGGCAAAGTGGCCTGGAATCGGAGGGCAAAGCCAGCAAAATGTCCTGGAACCGGAGGGCAAAGCCAGCGAAGTGTCCTGGAATCGGAGGGCAAAACGGCAAAGAGTCCTGGAATCGGAGGGCAAAGCCGGCGAAGTGTCCTGGAATCGGCGAGCAAAGCCGGTAAAGTGTCCTGGAATCGAAGGGAAAATCGGCAAAGTGTCCTGCAGTCAGAGGGCAAATCGGCAAAGTGTCCTGAGATCGGAGGGCAAAGCCGGCAAAGTGTCTTGGAATCGAAGGGCAAAAGAGAAGCGGACAGACGGGGAGAGAAAACGTGAGGGGTACTGGAGACACACCAGCATTTCGTAGAGTAGAGGGTGAAGGCGGTCTAATAGAAATTACAAGGAGAAGAGAGAGAGAGAGAGAGAGAGGGAGGGAGGGGGGGGGAGGGAGGGAGGGGGATAGGCGGAAGATGAAGGACCAAAGAGAGTAAAGCGGAGTGTCAAAAAACAAGAAGAAACGCCAAGATTCCACCCAAGCCGAGAGAATCGTCGACAGCTACGCGGCCAACAATGACAGGCGTAGCCACGGCAGGTCGTCAGATTTCGGAGGGCTTGGATCACTTCTTGCAATTATACAACCGCATTATCAATTCCAAGCCGCTTCGACCATACCAAAGTTTATTAGATGGTTGCCTGGCCGACAAATTCCCTCCCCCTTCTCCCTTTCTCGCCCTCTCTTGACCGAGACGCTGTATCGCTTAAACGGCAGCAAGTGTTACCATTCAACTGTGAAAATCGTCGGCAATTTCATTATCCAGCGATCCGTCTCGACAAAGGAGTGCCCAAGGAGGAAGAGGTGGAGAAGGACGTCAGATTAGAACATCTCGACAAAGGAGTGCCCAAGGAGGAAGAGGTGGAGAAGGACGTCAGATTAGAACAACAGCCAGCCACTACCACCAATTCACCGTTTTGCTTCTCCGGAAATCGTGACATGAAGGAAAGCCAACGATCCTCTTACCTCCCCACATCCCTGCAATAGCGGAGCACAAGCAGAAAACAAGTAGAGAGAGAGAGAGAGGGAAAGTGGGCAGAGAGGGAGAGAGGGAGGGAGAGAGGGAAGGAGGGAGGGACGGAGGAAGGGAAGGAGGCCCCACTGATACTGTGTGTTCATCCTAACACAGCACGACATTGGCCATGATCATGACCAGGTTCATGCTCTCCAAACACGAAAATGGCACCGGTTGGGTCTGACCCTTAAGCACGGAGGACGACGACCATGCAGTCACAGAAAAGAGCAAAAGAAAGAGAGAGAGAGAGAGAGAGAGAGAGAGAGAGAGAGAGAGAGAGGAGAAGAGGAAAACGGCAGGGGAAGCAGGGGGGGGTAGAACCAGATCTTTCGGGAGTGGAACCAGGCAGTAGGTAGCATGATCTCATTTGTAACGGAACGGAACGGAACGGAATGAAATGGAACGGAACGGGACGGGCAGACCTTCGTGCCATCGACTTTCATTATACCACCCACGTTGATTTGTTTACGCCACATCACTGATTCTCTTGCTTTCTCGTCACAAGGACTTGTCTGAACGTATCTGGCCCCATGTGCAGTCACATGCGTGCAGCAAAGCCCTGCTGCTAGTTTGAACCCATTCCATCTGTGAAAGCCACTCCGCTTAAAGATGGCTCATCCTCTCCTTCCGATGTAAGACTGACCTTCCTACGATCCCTCTCCTCCCGAACACAACGCACCCTCAATTTGATCGAATCAGGCCTTTGCTTTTCAATTTGCTTGATTTGCACTAGTACATTCACGATTAGGGTGCCTTGTGTTGGGGGGAAGATGGTCAAGGTCGAGGTCGGGGGAGAGATGGAGGGCGCTCAAGGGTTCTCCCTTCGGGTTCCATACTCAGGAAAATTACCATCGCGGGGTGCGAAGTAGTCGACTGATTCACTTCTGACCACACTTGAGAAGACGAAGAGCCTCCCTCGAGCTCTGCGAACACCACCCGCTGACAAGTGATACCTCTTCCTCCCCTCGAAGACGAACGCACTGACAGGTGATACCTCCTCCTCCCCTCGAAGATGAACGCAAGGATCGCAACGGTGGCTATGGCGACCCAGATGAGCTCGACGGGCCGCCGGCCGGTGTCCGCAGAGAGCGCGGCTAAGCTCTGCAAGGCCGAGAGGACTTACCGCAAAAGATTTTGGAAGATTGAGATACGAGCGGGACTGGCGAGCCGGCCCGCGAGCGGGACTGGCGAGCGGGCCCGCGACCGGACTGGCACGGGTTGGCGCGGGCATTGAAACTGGGAGGAGCGGGACTCGCTAGTAGACCCGCGAGCGGGTCCCCCAAGGCCTCGCGCGCTCATTGAAAAAACTGGAAGGAGATGGGGAAGGGGCCCATTCCGTCACGAGGTGGAAAGGAAAGCCCTCAAACTGACCTGCTGGAAACGTGGACTCGGGTGTAGTTGCTATATAGAGTTCTTAGAAAAGCTTGTAACAGAGGGACCTCTCTCTCTCTCTTTCTGCCTACCAATGTACCTACCTACGCTGCTAGCTAGCGGTGTACCTACCCGTTCCTGCATCTTTACCTATGTGCTGGGCCCCTAGCAATCAATCTTCCTCTGATTATTTATACGTCTATCTATCTTCATCATAGAAACCTGTCTATATGTTGACAGTTGAATCTCGACGAATCTATCTGTCCAATGGGGGTCGATCAAATTAAATTACCAGAGTATCAATCAATCTGCGTGTCATCCTTCCAGAGTGAAGTACCCAAGCTTTAAAATAGGCACATCATTCTCAGAACCAAAACCCCGGAGCAAGAAAAAGGTTCAAGAACTTGCCAAATAGCAAGTCAACAGATTCGGAAAGTCAACAAAGTCAGAAAGTCGATAAAGTCAAAAAAAAAAAAAAAAAATCTTTTTAATGCGGTGCTTTTTAAAAAATGCAGTTGGTAAGGCACGCAAGTGGCATTCAGGAGGTCTTGGGTTCAATCCCCATTGGCCTCATGTACCTTCCTGGGCAAGCTTGGCGCCCGCCACCTAGAGATACGCCGTTGGTCCCCCCGAATGGCATTGAGCAGAGACTGCTGATGTTCATAGGGGGAGGGGACCGGAGGGGAGGCACAGTGACTGGCCCATCGAAGAAGCTCGGTCCTGATGCTACCGGCTGACCCCYGGCCRGTATCGCCCACCTGCTGTAGCAGGTATCRCACCTGCTGGTGGGTGCAGCTCCCGCATGTTCCCTCGTTGGAGGCTTGAGCACGGATGTGGCTGCTACGGGGTTCCCCATAATACTATAATGACAATAAAAAAAGGCCTGAAAGGCCGTCCTGTCCAGATTTGACAGGTAATTGAATTGGTTGGGCTTAAGGAATTAGCCTTTAAAAAAAAAAAAAAAAAAAAAAAAAAAGTTGGGCTTTTTAAAAAAAAAAAAAAAAAAAAAAAATGTTGTGCTTTTTAAAAAAAGCAGTGCATAAAGTCAAAAAAAGTCAACAATGTGGTTCCTTCCCAAAATATAGGCATCAATTTATCAAAGGGACTAACTGAAGGATAAAAAGGAGGCATCAATTTATCAAAGGGACTAACTGAAGGATAAACAGGATACAGGGATCTCTTTTCATAACTACCCTGTCAAAATACACAAAATGTTCTCTTCTGGTAAAAAAAGGACAAAGAGGAATTACACTCAAGTCCAGGACAGTCACCAACTGGCCTAGCTCAGTTGGTAACCCCTGAACTGTTCAAAGACAGACCTGAGTTCGAACTGAATTACCTAGGGCTGGTCAGTTTCTATGATAATATCTCAAGGCGTTGCCTATTTTTTCAAAAAAAGAGGGGGGGAAAAGGAGAGATCGGCAGCGATAACCTCGTGGTGTTGGCACTGTCGGGTTCGTACAATGGTTTAGCATCCCAGTTTCCCATCTCAGTATGGCCAATCAGGTCCAGGGTGGCATGTGCATGACATGAAACAAAATGAAAAGATGAAACGAATCCGAAATGGCACGATTTTTCCGCATGAAACAAGAATACCGAGAAGTCAGATCGTTGCCTATGTCCGAAGTCGTGAAAAAAATGTAGGTTCTCTGCTTACCATCCCCCTCCCGATGGTTCTTGCTGTTCTCTATCATTTCTTTTGATATGCTTGCCAGGGGTAAGTAACTGGACTGGTGCCCCCCAAAGGGGCTGTGTATGTTGTGTGGAAAGTTAAAAAAAAAAAATGTAGGCTGGTGTTTTTCATCAGTCCAAAACTTGAATCTACCCTCAAATGTATCAGTAGAAAGGGGTCACATAGAAGATGGCATCCACTTGTCCAAACATACCTCATGAACTCATGAAGACTCACAAACGAGCTCATTAGTGTGAGCTGTGTAGCGGAGAGGTCCACAACGAATCCTATTTGAAACTTTCGGGTTTCCAAGGCCTCACAAACTTGGTTCGGTTTCATTTCATTTTAGCCGTTATATGGGCAGGCCTTCATTCGTGGTGCCAGACTGCACGTTTGTCATCACGCCCAATATTTAGTGGGGTGTTTTGGTAGCGCTGGCCAAATTTTGGTTTGGTTTCAATCGAGCGCTCGCATGAAGGTGTGGTTCTAGGGTCCTCCTGACTGCGTCACATGGTATTTGGTAGTAACTTGGTAAGCAGATGATTGGAGTTTGCTTCTCCATACAAGTGCGCCAGCCATACCTCTTATGGTCCTCTGCAACAGGATAAGATCTTACGAGATACAACTTGCCTCACCATTAGGAGTTGTCACCATCCTTAGGGGGCATATCTCCACCGACCTACCAATTCATATGTTGCGACTTTTAAAGTTTGATATCTAACCTCGACACTTTCAAACTTTATCTAACCCTCTTTTCATAGTTATTTCTTTCCTCATTGCAGCCGTATCCTCCCTCTTAGTTATTTTTTTTCTCTGTCAGCTTTCTTTTCTCATCCTCTTCCGGATATCGCAAATAACAATGTTTGTGAAGCAGCCTTCATCGCTCTACTTCTCCTCCATGAGTGTACAATTGAAGCAATACCAAGACATGGGTGTCTAGAGGATGTCCTCCTTGGGTTCCCCTCTGGTAACCCTTTTGCTTCAACAACAAAGTGATTGGGGGGCATTCCAATTGCTTTCAATTAACTATCGTCATTCCAGTAAGAACCATTTGATGACATGATTTTTTTTTTCTTTATTTATTTTTTAAGTCCAAATCGTAGTACATGTTGGATGCTAGGCCTCGGGAAGTGCCTGTCGCCGTACTCAACCAGTGGGGAGATCAGATGGTTTGGGACAGCCCCAAGGACAGTCTCCTCCACGGGGCATCATTTTTGAACTTTGTTGTCCTGATCAGATCGCAACTCGAGCCCTGTAGCGGTGCAACCCAGATTACACCAACTTGCGCCTTCCAAAGGTCTCAGATGAGTCCCTCCGAGGGCTACCATAGGGAATTCTCGAGGATGACCCGGACACAGGAGAGGTCATGGATATGCGGTCATTCGCACCTATATCACATCTAACAGACTCTATGGGTGGCTAACCACTATTCTACTATCAATGTGATGACCCACCCTCCCCTGCCTAAGATGAGACCTCTACCCAGAGATTCTTCCCCAAATTGACGCTCCAATCGACCCCCTCAATGACAATGCAAATAGATACCAGCCCAGATGAAGCCCAACCCTCAAGCATCACAAGATAGACATGAGACCCACCCTAGGGAATTGTATACGCCTAACACCTAACCCCTACCACTACTCAAGAGAGGGTGTAGGTATGGACTCTCGAGGGTGTATCATGAGGTCGGGAAACTGGTACGGTACGTGATTCTGCACACATTGGTATTAGCATCGGTTCGATGTATGGAGCAATGTTGATCAAACTCCTTCTCACCTTTGAGCAATCAACAATAGCTAATGCAACTTTAATCAGGTTTTTTTCTTCATATAGTCCCATACCATCAGCATGACGTAGCACCACGCGCGAGAGAATTCCAAACTTATTATTATTATTTTTCCCATGCAATCACTGATGGACAACTTGGATAAGGTAATCTATCTCCTTTGAATACTCATATGTTACCCTTCTTACTCGTTTCATTCTTCTTCTTCTCCTCTCTCCCTGCTCTTTTTTTCTTTTTTGTTTCCCTCTTCCTTTTCTCTTCTTCCAATTCTCTCGCTTTTTCTTCCTTTATGCTTCTTTGCAAAAGAGTAGCACAACTTTAAACCAATATTCAACAACGCTCTACCATTCTTCGTCTTCTCAAATGGTAGGGCGACTTAATTTTTTCTTTCTCTTGTTTGACTGGCTTATTCCTCCCAATTTCCAATTAGTTGTCCATGAGATGGATGTTGTGGTGTGGGCTTTTCCCTCATGCTCATTGCTTTCATAAAATAAATAAATAAACAAAAAAACGATAAAAAAATGAAACACTTCTACCATGAAGTAGCCCGTACATTTCCTAAAACCATGACGCATTAGCGGGCACAACTCTAGAGAGTACTGGTGGTTTAAACACACCCCAAGTTTACGTGCGTATAACAATTTTTATGGTTGTATGGTGCAAACACGTATCGCTAATAAACAGACTAAAATTTGAAACCTGGTAAATCTAACTAATAAATTATCTTTGAATTACTTAGGGATTGTTGGACATTCCTTTGGACATGAAACACCTACCTCATAACATGTGGCATCCCCTTTTTCAATACAATCACTACTTTAGTATATAAATGACCCTAATGTTCTCCTTGATATAATGAAGCGTCATCTTGATGCTTTCGCTCCTCAAGCAGTCGGTATTCTAAATCAAGATCTCATGTGAGCACACTCTCATTACAATCTCACGCCTTTTCCTCATCTCATGCTTCTTTGCAACGTCTCTATGATAAACCAATGACTTTGATACGTTACGCACGTCAAGTGCGCATCATGTTTTTCGCATCGTTGATCATAGAGACAATCACGATAGAATCAGTGACTGAGGTGAAGTCGCAACAAGGTAGCCGTAGGGGAACCTGCGGCTGGATTGACTCCTTTCCAATATACATACCCAAAAGATTAGTACAACTCTATATTGGAATTGGGCAGAGTTCTACCATTCTTAATATTTCTCATCTCAAATGGTAGGGCTACTACTTAACCTTTTTTTTTTCTAGCTTAATCATGTCCATAAGATGGGTGTTGTTACTACCTTAGCATTCATTCACACAACTTTGTGTGGCATGGACATTTAAGATGGATGTTGTCACTACCTTAGCATTCATTCACACAACTTTACTTGGCGTGGACATTTCCTTAACGCCCATTACCCTCATTAAAAAAAATAAAAAAAAAAAATAAAAAAATAAAAGAACAAAACAGTCTTGCCATGAAAGAATACTCACTCTAACACTTTTATGCATGCAACCTTAAACCGCCAGTACACGGCCTCAACCTTGCTGAAAATATTGCCTACTCCGAAAATTTCGCGTCTTGATATTAGACCAGAATGGTTCGTGGCACAAGCCAAAAAATAAAAAACATGCATTGTTGGCGATTAAAAAAAGTTTGGCGCCAAGTTCATGGGTATGTAGCAATTCTTATGGTTTATGGTGCAACCATGTACTGCTAATAAACATACTAAAATTTGAAACCGTGCAAACCTAACTAATGAAATATATTTGAATGACTTTAATGTTCTTAGACATACTGAAAGTGAAACACCCACATCATAACATGTGATATAGCTGAGAAGTCAAACAAGTGTCCTTCATGCGTACTGCTATCTTTTGAATAAATAT